ATTAGACAAAACAACGAAACTCCCCAGCAGCCATTTTTCATTTTTCAAGGCACTGATTTGCAAGATGGCGAAATTAGTTGAGAATGAACCTATCGCAATATTGAACGCATTCAACCCGGTGGGGAAATAGGCGGAATGGAGGTAGAGAAAATTGAAATAAACGAAAATGGTCATCCCAGCGAGCATTATCTTGCTTTTTGAACGGTGGATGGTTACTATGGTTGCGTCGGCAAAGTTCCGGTAAATATCGGACACCAAACCGCTACTTATCATTTAAACAGAAGCATGAAAATTAACGGAGATAACATGGAAGCAATTACTTTTCCTGGTCGGCAGAATTTTTGTTCAGGCACTGAATTTCCTTTTGCTCCGAATGATAAAGGATTAAATAGTTTAATTGGCAATGAAACCTATCTAAATAAGGAAAATTTATATGTCATTGTCAGCAGAGAAGACTTTTACGATTCTCTTATCATAGCAGGCAATTTCAAAGTCACTAATGCCGACGGAATTCGTCGCTTTTTGGAAAATGGAGCCAATCAATTCAATTACCAAAGCGTTCCAACTATTTCGTCAACCAGGAATACCCGCGATAGTGATGGCGGTGAAGGATTAAGGAGAGGGCAAAATTGAGGGTTCCGAAACCGACCGAATAATCAGGGAAGATGGGTAATTGACCAAACATCATTAGCCAAGCATAATCAATTAGTTAAAAAATACAACTTGGTTAATAGTGTGGCAATCAACGTAATTAACCGCGAATTCGCTCGATTATGGGACCAACTAAATAGCCAACGAGAAAATTTGCCAGTTAACAAACGCACGCAGAAATTACTAGCCAAAATCACGAACCAAAGCCAACAAAAATTAGGACAAGACGAAGAAATTACGGCTTTTGCGGAACTGCAAGAATTGGTTTTGCTTGACGCCAATGCCGAAGCAGAACAAGTAATCAAGCAAGCTAACCAGAATTTCAAGCAGATGGAGCTAAACCAATTACTTTATGAAAAAAAGTACCAATTAATTTTGTGGATAACAAAGTTACTTAACGAA